GAAAGAATAAGTGAGGGAAAACTACTCCCAGAAGAAATTGTCATATTCAACGAACTATTATGGAAATATGAACACATATTCTCAGAGAATCCAGGCAAAATTGCAGACCATGAATGCCAAATCAAAATTATCCCTGGAGAGCCTATTTATCAAAAACCGTATCCTATACCTATCTCCAAATTAGAGAAAATGGATAAGGAAGTGGCACGGATGCTACACTTGGGGATAATTGAACCTTCAGATTCCCCATGGTCATCTCCCATTGTAGGAGTCGAAAAAAGAAACGGAGAGGTACGACTCTGCCTGGATGCGAGGAAAATTAACACCCGAATAGTCCCGGACCGAGAACGACCCACTAACATCGACGAGATTTTAATGAAGTTTCAAGGAGCCAGATACTTAAGTTCAATAGACCTAACGGCCGGATATTGGCAATGTCGACTAAAGAAAGAATGCAGGGGAATCACAGCATTCTTATACCGAGGAAGAAACTACCAGTTTAAAGTTCTCCCTTTTGGACTTGTAAACTCAGTAGCAGAGTTCCAGAAAATTTTAGACAAGGTCTTAGGATCGGAAGTATTACAATTCACCGCTGTATACGTGGATGATATCCACGTTACTTCGACTACTTTTTCAGAACATATGAACCGCCTAGAGAAAATTTTCCACCGTTTCCAGCAGTATAATGTAACAATCAATATGAAGAAATCACAATTTCTATGCAGTCAAATTATATTCCTGGGACATATAATCTCTGAAAAGGGACTTATCATGGACCCAGACAAAATAAAAGCAATACAGAACTTCCAAGAACCTAAGAGTAAAAAACAAGTGCAATCTTTTCTAGGGTTCATCAATTTCTACCGCCAATATATAAGGGATCTATCAAAATACACTACTGTTCTAAGCCAACTCACCAAAAAGAATGCCGAGTGGGAATGGAACGAAGAACAACGCGAGGCATTCCGAACTATAAAAGAACAGTTTTTGGATGATATAGTCCTTGAATATCCGGATTTCAAAAGAGAGTTTTATTTGGCCACCGACGCGTCAAAAACACACTTAGGAGCGGAACTATATCAACTGGACGAGGAAGGACGACATAGAACGTTAGGATTTGCTAGTCGAAAACTGCAAGACGCAGAACAGCATTACTATACTACTGAACTTGAATTATTAGCAATTGTTTTTGGATGCACCAAATATAGGAATTATATATTGGGGTATCGAGTAAATATTATTACAGACCACAAAGCACTGACGTTCCTCAATCAATGCCAACTACTGAATGCGCGGTTGATGAGATGGGCCATCAAACTACAAGAGTTCGACCTGCAAATAACCCATGTTCCCGGAAAGGACAACATTGGAGCAGACACTTTAACCCGATACCCACAAAGTCCAGGGGACAGGGATGAAATACAAAAAACAACTATTTACATCAATAAAGTGCTACACAACCAGTATAGCACGAAGCTATTACGACAATTCGAACATATGAAGGATCTCCAAGACCAAGATGAAGAGTTGAATATTATCCGAGACCGCATCAAAACGCATGAAACCCACAGGTACAAAGTACACCAGGGATTACTCTTCTTCATTGATAAAGACGGAAGAGAGAAACTCATGCTCCCCAAAATTATGGTACAAGACATAGTGATAGAAACTCACGAATTATTCGGACATTTTGGAGCAGCTAAAGTACACGACATGCTACGAAGAGAATATCAGATACACAAGATGTACCACACCATCAAACAAATAATCAAGCGATGTGATATATGTCAAAGAAGCAAGATCCCAAACCAAAATACTAGGGGACCGTTGATGGCAAACATTCCCGAGAAACCCAAAGAAAGGATTTCACTGGACTTGATGGGGCCGTTACCAAAAGGACAGTTTGGAAACCAATACATTTTAGTATTATTGGACCTATTTACGAAACATGTACAAATTTATGCTATGCGGAAAGCAACGGTCGGGAATATAATACGAAAACTGCGAGATAAGTACTTACCTGCCTTTGGTCCAGTACAGAGGATTCTCACGGACAACGGTACGCAGTTCCATAGCAAAGCCTGGGAGAAACAGATGAAATTATGGGAGATACGCCACATCGTCACAACTACCTACCACCCCGAAGGGAATCCGGTTGAAAGGACGAACCGGGAAATAGGTCGTATACTACGAACCTTTTGCTACCAGAAACATACCGCCTGGGTAGGGCATTTACCAAGGATCGAGTATTGGCTCAACAATGTCACTCACTTATCCACAGGCTATACCCCACAAGAACTAGTCGATGGACGCCGACACAGTTTTCGACTGAACAAACTGATCCCGGCTGACGATCTATTGTTGAATGAAGAAAAGAATACTATTATACAACTGGCATATAAAAGACTAAAGAAGACCGCGCAATACCGGTGCGAATACCATAACAAAGGAAAGAAATTCCCTAATTATGTTCAAGGCCAACAAGTCCTCCTACGAGAACATAAATTATCGTCGCTAGATGATAATACCATAAAAAAGTTCTTCTTGCTATATCGCGGACCATATCTTATCACTGAAGTACGAAAGAATAACACCGTAGTAGTAATCTCGGAAAATGGTCAACAGTCAACTCATAATTTCAAAAACATCAAGCTGTATGTACCTCCAGACCCCGGCAAGGAGATACAGAATTAACGCCCGAGACAAGAAACCAACCATCCACCACTACTATAACCATCACGCCCAGCACCAAGGCCACCACACTTCCAGTCCAGGGACCAAAACAAGGAAGGAGACTAGCTGATCCTACAAGCAAACGAAGTATCAAGAAGAAGAGTTTCGGATCCCTGCGCACTCGACCACAGTAACACATTTAAAAAAAAAAAAAAAAAAATATATATATCTTGCCATAAGCACCAATTTTATTGTTTAAACCTTAATAGTTTCATCTTGTTTTTATTTTTCCTAAATTGTATATTGTAAAACTTTCAAGGTTACGAAAATTTTAAAGTCCCATTTACTCAAAATAAAAAAGGGGACTATGTAACGATTCTGAATGTACGGACCACTCCTTTCTCCGCTAGTCCGCGCCACCAATACTGCGCGCCCGAGTACCGATACGACATTTCGCTCGCGGACTAACGGTAGATCGCGCTCAAGGACAACTCATCATAGATCCGACTGGGGATCGCTGATTAAGGATACAATTGGTCCCTCCAGGGGGGATTAATGATAGCAAACTAGTAAGGGCATACATTCTGAACAGATTCATATGTACATCCAAACCCCTATCGACCCGGAAAACCCTCAGCGGCATCGAAACGGGTATGTTGTCATTCGCTAGGCTGACAATCGGGAATAAGCGCAACAGCACATATAGGAAGGCCCGACGGCCGGCTCACCGATTCCGTTTTTCCGACCAAAATACTGGTAGGAATAGACACCACCGTCCAGAGTCGTGGGTAAGGCTGTAAAACCCCTTACTGTCCGACTGCCTGGTACCGTGCCTATTCCCACCAGTAGTCGTAACTCTCTTTTTCTGCGTCCGTATACGCCTATAAGACTCCTTACTTTCCAACCATATCAAACGGCGTAGTGTAACAGTCCGGGTACGGCATTAATACCCCGTACTGTCGATCGTTATACTACGATACGCGATTTGGTCGATGTGAAAGGAGTCTAGTAATTTACACTCTCTTATCGCTCTAAGAAGCAAGTAGTAAATTGTTAGGGTGCCGTTGAAGGTGAATATATTGGCTACTGCTGCAAAAACTGTAAGTCGGATTTTTATTGTTATTTCCAATTATACTAAAACGTACCGAAGTTATATTTTGTTTGTATAAAATTTTACTTATCATAATTATTATATTTGAATTATATTCCTATCTTGATTTTACCCGTAATCGGACATCCGGGATAATTAAATTCGTATTACTACGTGTATATTATATTCTATGTTCTATATTGTATTTTGTTTTGTGAATGTGTTTACGTCAATACAATAAAAGATATTAACCTTAATGAATATGTGTTCCGTTCATTACAAAATATAGGTAAAGGTTCATTATTTGTTTGACAATTATTTTGTTTTAGAATATTTTTTAAATGAACATAATATTTAATAACACACATAACAGTATTATGACGTTGTGTGTTATTACTTATATTATACATTTATACCTACCTACCTATTTTTTATATAATATATGAATACAATGTACCTATACGGCATAATGCATAAGAATAAGACCCAGGTTGTTTCCCTGTATTTGTCCCCGTTAATAACCTATATTTATAATTATAATTTTTGAAAATAATTATAAGCTGTATTAAAGAGTTAACTTTTGGTTAACTCAAAATAAAATAAAATATTCTTATCATGTTACCACAGAATATTTTAGATAAGCAGAGTCGTGCCTAGGGGGGGACTTGGGTGTTCAACCCCCAGTAGGGCCGCATTTAGGGGGGTGCAATGGGTGCGATTGCACCGGGCGGCAGATTTAAGGGGGCGGTCGTGGACTCCTGGAAAAAGTGCCAATGTGTAATTTGTCCAAGAGTATTTTAATTTTAACTGACAAGTTTTATATTTCGTTTTTCTTTCATTTTTTTTTTTTATTTTTTATATTGTAATTAATAATTTCGTCTTTAGATTCTAATCATCATTTAGCATAAATAAATACAGATTAAAAATATTAACTTGTATTCTTATCTATCATTAAACTCGATTAACGATTGCTATCACTTAAAATCCTCATCTTCTTAATAAAGTGTAAGCCAATAATTTTATTTGAGTATTTAGTATTTGGTGATAATGATAAATATTTACCATAACTTAAATATATACCGTTAGTACGTCCTATATCATTAAGAGAACATTGTTCCCTCCAACTGCAACAGTGTGTTATCATTTTTAAATTTAAGTTATATTCTTTACTCTAGTTACTGTCTGAAAATATGGACATATTCCGGCAGAAATATTCAAAAGTGATACCTACTTTGTAATGTTGGATAAATTAATTAATGAACTAGAAAAGAGGAAAGAATCGTATGACCACCTTCTCGAAAACTATAAATTCTTTTTTAAACTGACTACTTTGTCAGTTGCTGATGTTTATATGTACGCTGCTAGACTACAAAAAGAATATCTCAATGATTTTAAACCGTCTTTTATAAATGAATGCTTACATTTTAGAGGCCATTTAAAAAGTATTGGCAGTGATGCTCCAAATACCATACAAGATATGTGTGCATTTATAAGGCAAAAAAATGTTGTAAATATTTATCCTTATATTGATATTTCCTTGAGAATGTTGCTATGTACACCTATTAGCAACTGTTCAACGGAAAGGTTATTCTCAGCTCTGAAGAGAGTAAAATCGTATTTAAGATCATGTTCTAAAGAAAATAGACTCAACAGTTTGGCAATGATGACCATAGAAGCGGATTTAACATCGAAAATTGATTACAATGGTGTAATCGAAGAATTTGCAACATTAAAATGCAGAAAAAAATGTTAATAAAAAATTGTCCACAGAACTTGACCATTAATTAAACGTATTTATAAAATTATTTAGTGACCTAACCTTACTAATTACTATATACTACAAATACTGATTAAAAAAATAAAATAAAAATATATTATAGGTTTTATTTTTTCAGTTGGTAAATTCTTAATTCCTAATTTATTTATCTACAACTGTAAGCTGTTTGTAAATGTAATTTGTTATTTGTTTAACAAAAATGATTAGTATTTATGCAAACTGAAACGAGAGGGGGCGGCAGAATTTGATTGCACGGGGCGGCTAAATCTTAAATGCGGCCCTGGCCCCACCCAACAAAAAAAATTGATCCCCCATCCCTTAGATAGGTACCTATTGCTATAATTTATATACATCCGATATTCCGATACATATAAGATAAGTAGGTATATCTATTTTGTTTTTCTAAATTTAATATTTAATTTATATCTAATTTGCATTGTATAATTATATGTTGCGTTAGTGTAATTAAATTATACAGACTGGAAAAAAATTAATTTGTAGTAGTAGGTACCTATATTATAATGTAGAGAGTAGTTTTATTTTTATTTCTTCAGATAGGTAAATAATTTAAACTTATACAGTAAGAAATAATTTAAATGGTTGTTTTTAGTTTTTGTGTTTATCTTTAATCTTTATACGTAGGTACCTAGGTAAATGCGAAAAAAAAACTACATGTATCTACAAAGTAATGTATTATTATTCAGTACTAAATAAAAGTATTCAAAGTATAAGACTCAGTAGACACATAAAAACTACATGATAAGAATAATTAGTTTTAGTATATTAGGGCGACGCCCATTTACTGCACAAATCATTCTATTTTTGAGCGTGGTATTGGGTTATGCATTTTGTGCGGTATTGGGTCATGTTTGTGCGGTAATGGTGAGCGCCGGTAGATTACTATTTACTAAAGTACATACTATAGGTATCAAATAACATTTGTACACATTCTATTAAAAGACAATTTTTCTAAATTATACTATTGAATGAAAAAAAAAATAAAAACTTTATAAACAAATTCATATATAGGTATAGCGAACCTTTTAACGCCCACGATGTAACCTAACTATTTATAGTTTTCGAGTCGTTTAAGCGTGATATAGTAGCTCTATGATATAGCTGATCAGGTCGTTAGTTTTGGAGTTAATATCAAATTTAATTAATCGTTTGTTGAAAAATTAAAAACCCTACAAAACTGTATTTTTCTTTTGGTGCATCCAGAAAAATATGTACTCACGTATTTTTGGTGTTAATACTTAATAACAGTATTTAATAGTACGTTCTTATATTACTGTTACCTACGTGTACCCATATTATATTATATATTATTTTTTAGTGTGTAGGCTCAACGGTTTTGTGGTTAAAAATAAAAAAATATATTAATATTTTTCATATATATCCGTACGGGTCTTCCATCATAATACCAGTGTATTATAATAATATGTATACCTATATTATAATGGGTATAATATTATAATTTATAATAATATAATATACACTCGTTTGCCGGTGCCACCACCGCGGTAATTTTCGTTATGCACATCCAGCCCAAGGTTAACAATGCCCGGCGTGGCGTCGGCGGCCATAACTGTCCAGAACAAGATGACACAGAATCCGGTTCTGAAAGAAAAAAGAGGTGCATGACACACACACACGCACACACACACACTTACGATGTGGGTGGGAAGAGAGTGAGGGGTACACAATGATAATAATAATAATAATAATAATAATAATATGTATCGTTGTATGTTATGCGTGTGTCTGGCAACCTCGCAACCTTGCAGTCGGTGGTGGAGGAGCAGTACGTCGATGTGGCGGAGGGGAGGAGGACCATTAATCCCATTAATCTCTTGATCTATCGAACGCCGTCGTCGACGTTTTCCCCTTATTGTACATATATAATATTATACACGTCTGCTACTTTAGGTACCTACCCATAGTCATAAACTTACAATCAAGTATAAGATATAGAGATATATACAACATACTAATAATATTATATTTTATACAATATGAAGATCAGCGGTCGGCCATTGGTCTGCCGTGCACCTTAGCCTGCTGTAGTGCCGTAGTGGTAGTTCAGTTGTAGTAGTGGGTGCGATTTTTAACTTCGGTCACCTAGACCTATGAGGAGCTTCATACGTAACACTCATACAGCTAGATAACCAAAGAGAAAAACCAGCTACCCGATCCGCAGCCACCAATCCTCCCGGTTGCAGGACGTAAAATGCGGTTAAATGCAAATATCGATGGACGAACTGTGGAGTAAACTGCCATCGTCCAATTTGGCGTTACAATAATATGCCTCGATCAAACGTATTGTGGCGGGCACGCGTTCGATACTCGTCCGGATAACGTACCTACGATATATAATAATATATTAATCACTATTATCTGTTGCAACAGTGGTAGACGTTTCTCACGGGTTTTTTCAGACCTGCATCGTGTTAATAACGTATATGCACCAGCCTCTCGCGAACCGGCTTCCTCAGCTGGCGTATAATATTATTTAGATTCATCAGTCCGACCGCGGTGGTGGGCTAGAGCACTCGACTGCAGCAGACGAACCGTAGTTTTACCCCGTCGATGATGCGTCGATGATGCATCGGTCGGTATTATTATGTATTATCATTATTACGCACGTTAGGAACCCCGCGAGCACACGCACATACCTATTATGGAAATGTGTGTTACTGTAATGACAAAATAAACAATGAAATCACGGCGGATGTACGTTAGGGCCACTGGTTTTGCAATGTCCGAAAATACCTACACCATTTCCCCCTACCGATTGGTAAACGAAATTCTTAAAGTGTGACACTCAAATAATACGCTAACGTTAGGTATCACGGGTAGGTACAACTATTACATAATATTATACACGTGGACAACCATTGTATAATAGTTTAGTATTAGATAGTACCTACCCATACTATAATATCAAATACCATTATAGTGTCTGTGTCGATATTATTTGTTTAAATCACTATATTGTGGTTTTTGGTTATAATAATTTAATAAAATAAAGTTTTAGTAGTTGAAATCACCACACGAATAATTAAATGAGAGTGATAAATTAATATAATATATTATATGCATACATAATAATATTATATTATATTCAAAGAAATTACATATTTCAAAAGTAGGTAATAAGTAAAGTTTACAAAATGTGTGTATCGTAATATTTTATAAGCTCTTTTAAGACTAAGTAATTAAAGTTACGTGTAAACATAATTTAAATTTGTATTCTTTGTTTATTTATCTATTCAATTTTGATTTTATATAGTTACACGTCATGTACACATGTGAAAGCAATTTTAACTATTAAGTTATCAAAACGTTTTTACTTTTAAACGTGATGTTATTATGTAAACGATAATATTTAGCGTTTCATATTGTATTTAGAAATTGTAGAAACGCATTTATCTATAATATTTGCAATAATACCACTTTAACTTGCTATTTAGTAGGTACCTATGTAATTTATTTGACGTAAAGGTCCAGAAAAATAATCATAATAACATGGTGTATTTTTTAGATCTACTAAAAAGTTCATTTACGATTTACCAAACTAGCGATGTAGGTACCTATTATAATATTACATATACCGTAATATATCTATTTTAATATTATACTAAACGAATAATACATTATTATTTCATTATTATTAAAATAATTTACTAGAAAGGTAATTCAACGACCTATAAAGAAACACTTTCGTGTTACTACGTCACATACAATTATTTACAAGCCATTATAGCTTAACCTATTAAGAATTACCAATTAAAATGCATTAACATTATATTATTAAGATATTAAAGGCAAAAAATACCGTGTAATTTATAACTTTATAATAGTACTTAATCAAATAAATATGCAAGTATTATATAGCAAAATAACAATTTCAAATAAGTTATATTGAAACATTTTAGATTTTTAAGCTCATTTTCTTAACTTCATACGAATGAAATTGATACAAAAAAAAATACTTAGTTATTTGAAAAAATGTTGACATCATTATAATATATTAATATAATATATTATTTATCAAGATAATTCATTAGTTTATTTACCTATATAATATAATGTATATGTTTTCTTATAAATACCTGCTATAATATTCTGTAAAGATCAATATGATACCTAGTTCACATTTTAAATTTAAATTAATAATTTTTTTTCATTGCCTACAATTTAAGATTTTAGTGTATTCCGTTAAATTGTTTAATCTGATAATCATTGTACATAATTACCCGCATTATCACTGTAATTAGCGTACTTTGAGTACTTATAGGTACCTAAATTTTCAACTATATCAATTTATTGTTTTGATACCTACATCTAAAAGTTGGTGAATACTGAATAGATATTTTAGAAAGTGAACTATTGACATTATAATAACGCGTTATATAAAATGATTAACATTACATAATTCCATTATAATTTATAACAGATATTTGTTGAATATTCAAAAGTGAATAAAATTCTCAGAAAAAGTAAAAATAAGGTTTAAAGGTATTGGTAAAAACTAAGGAGTAAGTATTTAAAGACATAACCTCAAAGTGTAAAGATTAATTTTAGTTTCATTCAACGTATATGATAATTAGAAAACCATTTAATTACAATACAAACAAATTATAAGTTATACCATACAGTATTGATTGAGAAAAATGTTTAAAATACATATTTTAATGAATATGTTAGTAAAACTATAGATATTACCTGTGTTCAGGCTGTGAGCCAATATTTCTTATTTTTTGTAGAACATTTTTCAGGAAATAAAATGTAAAGCACGAACCTTTTAGTAGTTTTGAACCTAGGTACAAACAGTAAGAAAGGAGACAACTGTAATTATGAAATGTTTAGTAAAAAATGTTAGGGCTAAAAGAAGACGACTGACACCAAACTGTTGACTAATGGGCAACCTGTAGGTGTAAGGTCCAGCGATCTGTGCACACACAACCGGTTCA